TTTGCTTTGTGAAGAAGAACTTTCTGTTATTCGTTTGAAGCCTGCTACCCATTCCTTTCCTTTGGTGTCCTCTAGTCCTTCTTTATGGGAACTCAGGAAGAACTTTTCTGAATGTACCCTCTCCACCCTACCCCTGCTTTTAGAGACCTCTATCCTGTCCCCCTCCGTCTCCTCTTTTCTAAGCTGAACAGTCCCAGTCTCTGTAGCCTCTCTTCATCTGGGACCTGTTCCCAACCCCTGATCATGTTAGTTGCCCTCCCCTCTCCCAGCCTTTCTCTTCCCCTCTCCCACCTCCTTTTCCCAGTCTCCCCGAGTTTTGTTCAATAAAGAGAGATCCTATTTTTGACCACATGTTTTCTTTATTTTGTACATCAGGAAGGGGGGCTAGGGAAGGGTAAGTGGAAGGAGGTGAGGGAGGAATGGGGCACGAGCCCCCGATGGGGAGGACTGGGCTGGCTCTGCGGGCTTCTGGGGGTGGAAGCTCTCCTGCAGCCCCCCAATTGCCCCCTCTCCCCAGATGGCAGCCTGCGGCAAGTGCAGCCGGGCTGATGGCCGAGTGCTGTGATGTGCCCAGTGTGGGTACTCCGGGCAATTCAAGCCAGGACTGCCTTGCAGTCTGAGAACTGTCTCTCCGGGGTGGGGGTCGGGACCCTTTAAGCACAGCCCTCGGCTAGCCTGAGACAGCATCTCCACGCTCTAAGTCCTCCTCTGATGCCCTGCCGGCACTGCTTCCAGCCATCCTTAAGCCTGGTGCTGGGTCCACTTAACGTGAACATGCTAGTTCGAATTAGCAAAACGCTAATTCAAACTAGTTTTTTAGTCTGGATCCGTTAGCTCGAATTAGATTGCGCCCAACAGCAATCTGCGGCCAAATGTGATTTTTTGCTTCTAACACAATCCTGTGTATTGTACTTGAATAGGAAGAAAGACATAAAATAAGTATCTTAAAAATAGTCAGATGCAGACAGGCTTTACCTGAAACCAAGAATTGTGTCTTAAAATGGAAGAAAAAATATTAACATGTTTAAATATAAAACTATCAAAAATGCTAGTCAGGTAGAATTTTGGAGGGAATGGATATCTTCCTTACAAATTAAAGTAATATGTTACTTAAAGCATTTGCTCTACTAAGTATATTTAGTAGAGAGGCTGATAACACTCTGTTTTAACTCATTAATACCTAAGAAGTGCATAGCATCTTATCTTGAATCTTTGGATTTAATAATATTTTTATTTAAATCTTACCTCTTATTTCCCCTTCCTTCTTAAAATCTACTCCAAAAGATAAACGGAGCAACTCACTTCCTATATTTTGTCAACACTATTAGCTGCTTCGATATATGCTTGCTTACAAGCCTTTCTGTGACCACCATGCACAGTGGCTACTTTGGTAAGTCATCTCGGATAACAGAAAAGTTTCTGGAACTTGAGCCCTTGTCACAGTTAAAGCCATATGCGTCATATTGGAATAAGACTTGAATCATTCTTCAAATTATATTTGATGCTTAATTCATCTAAATTTCAGATGCCTAAAGTTCAACAGATTTTGTTTCAAGGGTTTCTTGTGCCGGCACTACATTGACAAAACTGCAGTAACTCAAAAGCCAGTTTTCATAAAGTTAAATAGTTATTTTTAGGGCCCTATCAAATTCACGGCCAGGAAGCATGTTGCCAATGGTTCAAATGGCAGTCCTATCACCTTGGAAAGGGCTAGGTAATGTCCTGGGGAGGGGAGAGGAAACAGGTTGGCGGATTTCAGAGTAGAGTTTACCATGGCCTTTTAAGAATCAATTGACCATAGGGTTGTCAGAGACAGAGTAACCCCATGTACCCTAGTGGAAAGCTGATATGGAAGCTAAGTGAACCCTTATAGAGGAGACTGAAAATCCTTGCTGTTTGAGATGGATGAGGTAATGTAGAAAAAGTGACACTGAGGCCAGTGTTGGGGGTGAGCCACGTTGTGCTGACTAGCCTGAAAGTCTCTTCCACTTGGCAAGGTAGGTGGTTCTCTATAGGGTTTCCTGCTGTCAAGGAGGACTTATCTAACCTGGTGGGAGCAGGAGAGCTCTACTGGGTTCAGCCTACGGATGTTAACTAACAATTAATTTACTAGTCGAGCAGTTGATGGAATTTCCATCAACAACTTGACTAGTTGATAGGCATTTATACACTCCACTTTTGAAACGTACAAGAGCCCCAGTGGGGACTCTTGTTCATTTCAAAGTAGAAACACCATGGAGCCCAGGGTCAGTGGGAAGTCCTGCTGACTCCGGGCTCCACACAGGTGCTTCCGCTTTGAAATGCACAAGAGTCCCCACTGGAAACTCTTGTACATTTCAAAGTTGGCACGCGGCACAGAGCCCAGGGTCAGCTGGGGAATCCCCAGCTGATCTCGGGCTCCAAGTGGCGCTGCTGCTTTGAAATGCTGGGGGAGCCTGGGATCAGCTGGAGATTCCCCAGCTGACCCCAGACTCCATGTAGAACTGCTGCTTTGAAATGCCACAGCAGCATTTCAAAGGGGCAGTGCTACACGGAGCCTGGGACTCTGGGCTCTGTGTGGTGCTGCCACTTTGAAGTACCCCTCTATCTGAGGGAGTGACTTCCTAAATAAATAGTGTTAAAAGGGGGAGAGTGACTAGTCAACTATCCGATAAGCATTTGGAAGCTAAGTAAACCCATATAGAGGAGACTGAAAATCCTTGCTGTTTGAGATGGAAGATGCAATGTAGAAAAAGTGACACTGAGGCCAGTGTTGGGAGTGGAGCATTGCCCATCCAAATGCAGCATCATCCCTGGCCTGATGGTTCATTGTGTAGCGTGCCATAAAGGTATGGATGGAAGAGCAGGTTGCCACTCTGCAAATTTCCTGAGGAGGAATCCAAGCCAGGAACGCTATGGATGAGACCTGCATTCTCATGGAGTGTGCTCCCTAGAGGCTTTTTCCACTGCTCCCATTGGCCAGAATCTGGTCAACGGGAGCAGCAGGAAGCCATGCCTCAGTTGAGGTGCCTGGGAGTGGTGTGGGGTGCAAAGGCAGTTAAGTTCCCCCTTTATGCTCAGAACCTGCACCGCATCCTCTCACCCACCCATCCCCAGCCCTCACTAAAACTCCAGCCCCCCA